AATATGATATATATCAGTGATGGCGAACCTTTTAGAGACCGAATGCCCAAACTGCAACCCAAAACCCACTTATGCATTGTTGGGTGCCAGGTGGGTGTGGCCCATTGGGTGAATGTGGCCCATTGGGTGGGCGTGGCTGCGGTGGTAACAGTAGACTGGATGGGACTAAACAGTTTAATCAATCAATTCCAACTTTGCAAGATCTTTTTTTTCCGCGAGAAGTGGAAATTGACTGACTGAGTGAACCTCTTTTTTTTTTTGCACACGGTGGCAGAGGCCTAAAGCAAAAAGGCTTTATAAAACCCAGCTGAAGGCCTAGGACTGGGGCAACGGTGCGCGTGCCCACAGAGAGGGCTCTGAGTGCCACCTCTGGCACCCATGCCATAGGTTCGCCACCACTGATATATATATTTAATATGATACATTATTATAATTAATTATAATTCTGCTAATTAGCAGAAGGAGCTACGATTTCAGAAAATCATGGAAGAAAATGTACTAACTTTATGACATCTCCAAATGAGTGTCCATCTGACTTTGAAAAATACTTTTTTTTTCTTGGAGGATAAACTATTGATTTCCTTCCTTCTTGTTCAAGGTCTTATCAAACTGACTTATAAAACAGTTACAAATCAATAATATCAAACTTTTGCAGGCATGTCCAGTCTTTTCACATTACAGCATTTAAATCTTGAAAATTCTACAATAACACTAGACAACATGGTGCTAATGTGCCCATCTCCCTTAGTCTCCTCTCTGCCACTCCAGCTTTTCTGAAAAGTTTATTTTCATTAAAGAGAGAGAGAGATGGAGAGAGAGAGATGAAAAGAGAGAAGAAGTGCATAAGTTGTTGATGAAGACCTTGATTCAAGTTCATGGAAATTCACAGAGTGAATGTGATTGATCACTTTTTTCAGCCTAACCTATCTTAGTAGGATAGTAGTAGGTTGTGAGAAATAATGCAGTGCTATGTATATCTCACTGAATGCCTGCATTAAAGGCAAGCTATAAATCTAGCAAAGAGCCTCTAATATACATAAGTAAATGTGAAGTTCACTTATTTACTTACTTGTAATAAGTAAATGTGAAGTTTATTTATTACAAGTAAATGTGAAGTTCTTTACAAAGCCTTAATAAGACCATGCTTGGAATACTGCATCCAGTTCTGGTCACCACAATACAAAAAAGATGTTAGACTATGGAAAGAGTGAAGAAAAGAGCAATAAAAATGTTTAGGGGTCTGGAGACTAAAACATATGAACAATAGTTACAGGAATTGGGTATGCTTAGTCCAATAAAAAGGACTAGGGGGGACATGATAACACTATTCCAATATTTGAGGGGCTTCTACAAAGAGGGGGGGGGTCAAACTATTTTCCAAAGTTCTAGAATGTAAGACAAGAAACAATAGTTGGAAACTAACCAAGGAGAGAAGCAACATAGAAATAAGGAGAAATTTCCTGACAATTAGAACAATTAATTAGAGGAACGACTTGCCTCCAGAAGTTGAGGGTGCTCCAACACTGGGTTTTTAAGAAAAGATTGGACAACCATTTGTCTGAAATGGTATAGGGTCTCCTACTCGAGCAGAGGTTTGGACTAGAAGATCTCCCAGGTCCCTTCCAACTCTATTATTCTATGTTCTAAATCAGCAGTTCTCAACCTGTGGGTCGCGACCCTTTTGGGGCTCACATGAGCCTTTCACAGGGTTGCCTAAGACCATCGGAAAACACATATCTCCAATGGTCTTAGGCAGGGCTTGTCAACCGCCTTCTCTTCCTCTCCCCCTCTGCTCCACCTTGTTTGTGGAAAATATGCTGCTTGGCGGCAATCTGCACAAACTCTACCAAATGTGTCCTGCAGGGGGTGCATGAAGAGTGCAGGCGCAGACCAAGGCCCCGCCCTTCCCAGAGACTCATTGTGCAGCAACCGGATTGACTTCTTCTCGTGCACACAGATCAGCGAAGGGGAGGCCGCCGCAGCATCCAACTCCTGCGCCCGTCAGCTGGCGACCCCCGAACTTGCGCTTGTCAGCCGGGAGGTCTGGTGACGGCCGCCGGTCTCCTTCGCCACCCTGCCCGTCCTCGACTCTTCCTCCGCCCATTCATGTCAGGTCCACTGGGGCTTGACAGGGAGAGAGGGAGGGAAGGAGGAAGGGACTCCTCCTCCTCTCCTAAGCTTCAAAGCACAATCAGCTTCCCAAGGGTGCCACAATCCTCACGAAAGTGGAGGAGGGGGGAGAGAAACAAAGGGGGTGAGAAAGCTTGCGGCGGGCTCAAAGGAGCACCTGTCAGCGTTGTTGACGAGAAATTCCCCACAAACCCAGGGAAGGGGTGGAGAAAAGGAGCCCCCTTTGGGAGGAAACCGCCACCTTCTTCTCCTTGGCTTTGCGCTCTTCTGTTCCTCGGCAGCCTGGCTGTCAAGCCTCTGCTGGTTGGAACTTCCTTTCCTTCCCTCCCTCTTGGTCTCTTCCTCCTTCCCTCCCTCTCCCATTGTCCCTTCCTTCCTTCCTTCCTTCCTTCCTTCCTTCCTTCCTTCCTTCCTTTCCTTTGCCTCCCACTTTGTCCCTCCATCCCTCCCTCTTTCCCCTTGTCCCTTCTGTCCTTCCCTCTTGTCCAGGATTGGGGCGAACCTCTACAGCTGATCTGCGCTTTTGCAGAGCAGCCAAGAAGCAGGTCAGCTGTAGCAGCTCTCCTTGGCTCCTGCCCAGCAAACTTGCTCGAGCTTTGCTAGAAAACATGCCACTTGCTAATTTAGCAGAAGCGCGAATCAGCTGTAGCCCAGTGCTGATCCTGGGGCTTCTGCTAATTTAGCAAGCGGCTTGTTTTCTGGCGAAGCTGAGCAAGTGAGCTGGGCAGAGCTCTCCTCTGCCTCTGGCAGCCTGTCCCTCCCCTTGTCCCTTCCTGTGCATGGAGGGGGGGAGGAAGGAAGGGATGAAGAGGGAGGGAAGTAAGGGACAATGAGCAAGGGAAGGAAGGAAGGAACAATAGAAGGAGGGAAGGAAGGAAGGGACAAAGAGGAAAGGAAGGAAGGAAGCTAGGAAGGAAGGAAGGAAGGAAGGAAGGACGGAAGGAAGGAAGGAACTAAGAGGGAGGGGAACAAAAGGAAGGAAAGAAGGAAGGGACAATGGGCAAGAGGAAGGGAAGGAGGAAGAGACTAAGGGAGGTGAAGGAAAGGAAGGAAAGAGGGAAGGAAGGGACAATGGGAGAGAGAGAGGGAAGGAGGAAGAGACTAAAAAGGAGGTGAAGAAAAGGAAGGAAAGAAGGAGGGACAATGGGAAAGAGAGAGGGAAGGAGGAAGAGACTAAGGGAGGTGAAGGAAAGGAAGAAAAGAAGGAAGAAAGGAAGGAAGAGACAATGAGAGAGGGAGGGAAGGAGGAAGAGACTAAGAGGGAGGTGAAGGAAAGGAGGAAAAGAAGGAAGGAAGGGACAAGGGGAGAGAAGGGAGGGAAGGAAGGAAGGCACCCACCCCAGTCCCATCCCAGAGACCCACAGATTCCCCCCCACAGGTACTCTGCAACCTGAGTGATCAGCTGGCCTTGCCCCCGGCCATTGATCATGTGACCCTTGGACACTGTGAATGTCATAAGTATGAATCAGTTGTCAAGCATCCGAATGTAAATCACATGACCCTGGGGATGCTGCAACAATCATAAGTGTGAAAAATGATCATAATTCGCTTTTTCAGTGCTATTGTAACTTCTAACAGTCACTAAGTGAATTGTTGTAAGTCGAGGACTACCTATACTTTCCCATTTTTTCCTCTTTTTTTGTCAAGTTTTTGATACCCCCTCCTGGCCAGCCGGATGGGGAGTTGGGGGTCACCACAAAATGAAGAACTGTATTAAAGGGTCGCGGCATTAGGAAGGTTGAGAACCACTGTTCTAAATAGAAATTGGTGTGTTGCAAATGAAGGTTCTACCTTCTACCTGTGTTTTCATAAATTTATTTGGGTCCCATAAGGGTCCCACTGGACTGGAAGAGAACAATCTGATGGCTAGTTTCACTTTTGGTAAATATATTTTATGATTGATCATGCCTACCAATGATAAACATTTTATGAACATATAGTTTTCTCATAATAGCCATTGTGTGAATACATCTACAACAAGATATCAAAGTTCCTAATATGCATTTAGTCCAAAGATATTTTCACCAGTTTTCCTACAGAGATGATAGTTTTTATGCTTTTCAGCTTTTCAAATTAAAACTAGTTGTTCTAAGTATTCATAGATAGTACCCAGCAATCTTTTTTGATGAATTAGTCTGTGAGATCAAAACAGTTCCTTCTCTGCTGGCATTTAGAAAGGCAATGTACCTTTTTAAAGACTTTGTGCTACTACTTTCAAGATTTGTCTACTATTAGTTTTACTATTTGTTGCTGTTTTCTACTGTGTGCTATATGTTTTTTACTGTTAATAACATACATCATTCTGAATTTGAGGAATTGTTTCAGATGGCAGATAAAACAGCCTAAATATTAAAGCGATTGTTTGCCGTATAGCTCATAACAAGCTAGAATTGTATAGCAATATAAAATCATTACTGTATGGTTGTATGACATAACATTTGTCCCTATGATAAATGCATACACGCATGACCAAAATGGGGACCAGAATTTCTATTCCTAACCAAGGCAGTTCTTAAATGAATCATGCCAGATATTTTTGCCATGGCTGTTAACCAAATCACTGCAGTTGTTAAGTGAATTGTGTGGTCATTTCCCATTTGCTTGTTGGAAGTTGGCTGGGAAAATTGCAAGTGATGATTATATGACAGAAAACTGCAACTGTCATAAATACATGTCAGTTTTCATGTGCCCGAATTTTGATCCCATGGCTAAGGGAATATTCCTTCCTCTTCCTGTTTTCCCTACAACGCTGTGAGATGAGTTGGGCTGAGAGAGAGTGACTAGCTCTTAGCTTAAGTCCAACTAATTTAATTAAGTACGCCCAATCAGTTAATCAGCTTTTCTAACAACTTTCTTTTATCGTTTTGCAGATTTCTATGACATCTGTGATGTGGTTGATTGTCGAGGTTCCTGTTTGGACACTGGAGAATGCATTTGTTCCTTGGGGACAATTATGGGACCAGATGGACAGACTTGCCTTGGTAAGAAGCCTCTACACAAAGAAATATGAGAACCAAAAGGAAAATACCAAGCCAGGGGAGAGTTCTGAGGCAGGGAAAATTAAAAAGTTGCTTATAGATTGCACCACTACACAGAAATGGGCTCCACTTTTCTTAAGTGATAAGGAAAAAAAGAGGAATGTAAGCAATTATTATCACTATAAGAAGGAACTAACTTTCATTGTAAATGTCATCTGCTCATTGGTCCCACCCAGACAAATTGATCTCTGAAAAACTAATTAGAACAGGAACATAATTACGTACTTACTAATTCTGAATGAACTCATCTTCAAGAAATAACCCAGAGTTCTTCCAGCAGATGTGTACAAGGTTCAGTTTCAACTGATAGATTTTTCAGGGTAGAAACAAGAGTATTGTGGAGTTGAATACAGTTTATCTGCATGCTCTAATGAAATAACAGAATTGGAAGCACCTTGGAGGTCTTCAGGTCAACCCCCCTGCACAAACAGGAGGCCCTATACCATTCCAAATGGCTGTCCAATCTTGTCTTAAAAGCCTCCAGTGGTGGAACATCCAGAACTTCTGAAGGCAAGCTGTTCCACTGGTCAATTGTTCTCACTGTCCTTAGTTCTAGGCTGCTTCTCTCCTTAGTTAGTTTCCATCCATTCCTTCTTTCCTGTCTTCTGGTGCTTTGGTAAATAGATTGATCCCTTCTTCGTTGTGGCGGCCCTTCAAATATTGGAACACTGCTATCATGTCACCCCTGGTCTTTCTTTTCACTAGACTAGACATACCCAATTCCTGCAACTGTTCTTCCTATGTTTTAGCCCCCAGCCCCTAATCCTCTTTGTTGCTCTTTTCTGAACTCGTTCCAGAATCTCAATTTTTTTAATATAATATGGTAAGTAAAACTGGATGCAGTATTCTGATATTCTTGGAGTAAAATGGTAGCTAATGATCCCAGACAACTCCAGGAAATTATGTCAAGATTGTTGACTTTACAATGAAAAAATAAATCTGCAAACTCTAGAAAGAGTGTAGAGAAGATCACCAAAGATGATTAGGGCAATGGAAGCTAAAACATGAAGAACAGCTGGAGAAATTGGATATATCTAGTATAGTGAAAAGAAGGAATAGGGGTGACATGTTAGCAGTCTTCCAATATTTGAGGAGCTATCACAAAGAAGAAGGGATCAACCTATTTTCCAAACCACTTGAAGGCAGGGCAAGAAGCAATGGATGGAAACTAAACAAGGAGAGAACCAACCTAGAACTAAGGAGAAATTTCCTGACAGTTAGAACAATTAACTAGTGGAAAGGCTTGCCTTCAGAAGTTGTGGGTGCTCCATTACTGGACTTGAAGACCTCCAAGGTCCCTTCCAACTCTGTTATTTTGTTATTCTTTTCAAAACAGTATCCCAATGTATTTAACCAAAACAATACATTAATACAAAGAAAGTTAATAAAAGTTAGCTGCAGGTAAAGGGGAAAAAAGTTAAATTCCATCTAAGCTTTGTTTTAATTAGATTTTTGGTTTTGACGCTGTGCCAATAGTTTTAATTTGTTGAAGGTGTAGAAAGGACAATCAGAGAAGGTAATCTCCAGTGCAACACCACTTGGTAATATAATCAATTGCCACGAGTCAGAAAACAGCTGCATCACTATTAGGTTTTAAATTATCTTTCAGAATAATCAGATTCATGAAAGATAGACCATTATCTGTTAAATGTGTAAAGAGCATTCAGATGAGATACCTCATAAAGCATGAATTTCACCTTTACAAGCAAATATTCTGCCATATCCACACAAAAGCCCTTTAGAAAGCTCGTTTCTAAAGTTTCCCTCAAAGTTACCTTTGATTATATGATTTGTTTCATTTCACCATCAAAGTCTGATTCTTTTTCATGCGTGTGAACCCACACACACACACAAACACACACACCTACTGTGGCCTAAAAGCCAAGCACTGTGGGGCAGATTAGAAGCAACTCTTAATTACTGTGTTCACACAACACACCACTTAAGTCAGGAAAAACCTAGCAGATTAGAGAAGGGCAAGGAAGATGATGCAGGGACTTGAGGATGTGCCCTGTCAGGACAGGCTGAAAAAATCTGAGAAGTTCAATCTGAAGAAAAGAAAATTTAGGCCATCAGCTGTATTATTAATGGCCACCAGAAAGTAGGAACCAAAATAATGTGGCATATAAGTTTCAGCTGTCTAGATTTTGTTCAAATATAAGGAAAGGCTTCCTTAATTTTAAGGGTATGACAGTAAGATACTTAGCATGTTATAATAATTCATTCTGTATTAGGGTTAGTTAGTAGTAGTTTCATTGCAACTTACTAGGTATTAGTTAGATCAGTGTTTTTTTCAAATTCAGCCACTTTAAGGTATGTAAACTTTGAATGCCAGAATTCCCCAGCCAGAACTCAAAATTCAAGTTTGAAAAACACTGTGCTAGATGTTATGAATCTTACGTCTCAACTGCCATTGCTGAATTCCGTCTGCATCAGGCAGAAAAACCTAGAAAGACACATTAGAGATTTTTCTAACCAGATTTCTTTATTGTTCTTCACCTATAGACTGAAATCTTGCCAAACTAAAGCAGATTACTTGCCTCATAAAACATGTAATCTGAGAATTGTTAGACAGGAGCCATCTTTGCCCTCTTTTTCTCACACAAACTATCTAAATTTTGTTATCTTTTGCTCCTCCTCTCTTCCTCCTGGGAAACCAAACAACATTTCATCACAAGCTGGTTTTCTGATGTACTGCAGCTATCTCCAAGCAAATGAAGTTTATAACATTAGAATTTACACAAACATTTTTACATTTTAAAATAGCTATGCTTAAGTTGAACGTGCAAATGTTCAAGCCAGAGCTGGTCTATATAATCAGTTCATTAATGCTGGAAAATTATGGAGTATATAATTTGCAGTTTAATTTGCACCAGGATCCCAATCATTCTCTATATCAAAAATAAATATGTTTGAAGCTTATTTATTAAAAGTTAGCAAACATCCCAAAACAGCTAATTGGCAAATGTGAAAAATGGTCATGTCACTTTTTTCAGTGTCATTGTAACTTCGAACAGTCACTATACAAATAGTTGTAAATAGAGGGCTAGCTGGATTGAGTCTTATGTAACTGAGCTCCTTATCTTTATTCAGGGACAATGTATGGGACACAGAAAGCTTCTTTCATTCATGTTTTCCATTTGTGAGTGTTTGAGTCTATTACTTTCACATCCAAATGCTAGCTGTTCATATTGGTGGAAGCAGATAATTGCTTCATCGATGCTTCTTAATGAAAAATTGATTTCTCACATCAAATCATGCAAATTATGATGAAATGCACAATTGGAAACATAAGGGAAACAACAGGACAGTTACAGGAGGGAACAGGAACCATTACATAAGCAATTCTTGAGTCTGGGTCAGGGGGACACTTCAGAAGAGACTTAAGGAACTCCACCTAAAATGTTCTCAGTATACAGTAGGTTGAGTGGGAGAATTACTCTGGGTAGTTTTCAAGCAAGATCTAGCAAGAAAGATCTCAGAATTCAAGCGGGTCTGAACTCAGCAGCCTTGAAGGGCTTAACACAAATGGAGTCATTGGCTTTTGTACTTTTGTGGTGCAAAAATACCAAATCAGGCACATCTAACTTTTATGGATCAACCATCAAGGATGCTGACAAAATTCCACCCAACAAATACAGTTCTTTCAAACTGATGATCTAAAGATAGTATTACTGCACATGTCTTTCGCATATGTTTCCTTGTAGATGAAAATGAATGCGAAAGGAATAATGGAGGCTGCAGCGAATTCTGTATTAACCTAAAGAACTCCTATCGCTGTGAATGTGGAGTTGGCCGTGTCCTGGGGCTGGATGGAAAGATTTGTGAAGGTAAGGAAATAATTTAGAATTACTAGGAGAACTTTTCTAACTGACTAGTAGATTGATTTAATTAACATGCTTTAGGATTCTTGAGAGGATAAGGTCCAAAGTGCCAGAATATACTCTAGAAATCCGTGGTGGTGTTTGAGAGAAGGGGAAGGAGAGGAGAGGGGTGGAGAGGGGATGAGAGGGGAGGGAGGGGAAGGGAGGAAAGAGGAGAAAAAGGAAGGAGAGGAGGGAGGGGATGAAAGTGAATGGGAGGGGAGGGGGAAGAGAAGAGAGAGAAGAGAAGAGGAGAGAAGAGGAGAAGAAAAGAGAAGAGAAGAGGAAAATAAAATAAAATAAAATACAGGGCAATATTGTGGCAGCTTTCTGTTTTTGCAAGCTCCATCCAAAAACAGGTATTAGAGTGCCAGTGGGGATTTCCTTTAGTGCTGAGACGTGGGTGGAAAAATTGCAAAGACAGATATATGTCTTCATGTAACTAGATCTTGTATTGAAAGCCCAGAATTCACAAAAAGGATTATGCATAAATCCAAAGAGCAGTTTTCTTTCTGGAAGCATCAGTTAAGGTGACCTGCTTCCACAAAGAAGACACCTGCTAAGAAGGATCCATTTCAGGAGCTTATTATAATTTCTGCTTCTAGTTCCTTCACACAGTTTATCTTTGTAAGGCTTAATTGGAACAACTCTGAAACAGCACCTGTTCTCTGTGCTTTCCACAACTCATTAATTTCAGTGCAGAGATTCCTGAAACCTCTTTGCCCAATACAATTAAGAGGACATTGAAACATTTAGACAATTTAAATGACTATGAAATATGTAAATGTAATCGCCCCTCATATTTATCTGATTCTATAGTTTCATTCAATGTGAGCAGATAAGGGACATAGTTTCAGAGGCACTGCTAGATGGAAAAAAAGATTGTTTTTCTACTCATTATTTCTGCCTTAGAAATTGAAGGGTGTCACAACAACAATGGAGGCTGCAGCCATACATGCAACATGATGGAAACCAGTTATCAATGTGAATGCCCTCGAGGTCTTGTTTTGTCAGAGGACAACCACAGCTGCCAAGGTACAAAGGAAAAAGGGATGTGGCTGGTCTAGGATAATTTGTTAATTTGTTTATTTAGTAGATGTATATCCTGCTTTTGCTTTAGGAGGTGAAGGCCACAATTACTTTCTGGTGAGCTTCCAGGTTGAGGTGGTTCCTGAACCTAAATTTCTGTAGTAATTATTGTTACATTGCTATCTTATTTCTATGCCCCATCCTATCGGCATGGAAATGCATTTTGAAAAGACTGAATCAAAACATAATTTTAATCTGCAGGTCATCCCCATTATATTTTACCAGCCAGCCCAGAATTTGTAATCTGGTCCCTTCAGAGAGTTTAGCTGTGTGGCCAACAGCTAAAGATGACAGGAAGCAACAACCTCAGAGATCTGGCAGGCACTGGCTTGAGGGCTTCCTAGGAATTGAAGAAATGATTATCCAACACACATTTGGAGGGCATTGAAGAAGACTTAAAGATGATTGATCTATGAACAGACATAATGTCATATTCCACCACCACCAGTCCCATAGGAGAGGTTAATATTAAAGGGCTGGACATTGCTTTTTATGGAGGTATGAGTTGCATATCCACACATATGTGCCCAGTTTGATCATTGCAAAAGGGCCTGCTAAGTGTTACTCCACTTTCTGACATATGTGGGCTGTGGTAAGGTAGTAAGTCTTCTCAGAAGCAGCTTCCATATTATGGAACATCTCTCTCTCCCCCACCCCCACAAGTACATGCAACCTCCGTATTTCTGACTTTACATGAATTAGTGAACAAATTTATTCCAGGAATACCTTTGGTCCAGCAGACAAGGGAGGCCACTATGGCCTCATTAAAAGGGGCCACTTGTTAAAAGGGAAGGTCATTTAATTGCATAGAGAGAGCTGCCATCTTTATTTCTTTTTACCCTTGTACTCCTTCCCATAGATGTCTCTCATGGGAGTGACCTATTCTAATATGGTTTTTAATTCCAGTATTATATTGTTTTTCTAGCCAAGATAATTTTGTTTTGTTTTTTTAATTGTACACAACCAAGAGTCTACTTGGGGTGTGAAAGTAGACATCAAAAGGGGGAGAAAAAGTGAGAGAGGGAAAGGAAGAGAAAGGGAGAGAGAAGGAGAAGGAAAGGAAGAGGGAGGGAGAGAGAGAGGGAGAGAGGGAAAGAGGGAGGGAGAGAGAGAGAGATGAATTGCATGCAACACCATGCCCTTCATTCAATTTCCCTCTCCTTTCCTATCGTGGTATATTGTCTAAGAAGGGAGACATGGACAAGCATTAAGAATATGCAACTTTCTTGGAAACTTCCTTTCAAAAAAAGAAAGAAAAAAAATTTGGCCTCCAAAGCTCAAGGGAGCAGTGAAGATTTTTTAAATATATATATTTTGGGGGGAAGTTTTGGGGAGCCCCTCCAATCTTTCAGCTTGGTGCTTCTCACCTTCAAGTCTGTCTAAAGTTGGGCTGAAGGTCTCACCAATTACAATAGTGTCAGTCTTGTGGCAGCTGGAGTTGGCATTGCCACTGCATTGCTGCCACTACAGATGTGTGGTGACTGATGAGCTGGAAGAACAGTGAGTTTGATTGGAATTGACAGTTGAGGCAAGCAGGGCCTCACTGCACTGGAAAAATTTTTGGGGGGAGAGGCATGCACGTGTTGGATCTCTGTTCTACCTGGACCATGAGCTTCAGATTTTCACCTGAACTATTGATAACTTTGGCTTGCTGGTTTTAGAGCAGGGGGTCTTCAAACTTGGCAACTTTAAGACTTGTGGACCAACTCCCAGAATTCTTCAGCCAGCCAGTCCATAAGTCTTAAAGTGGAGCCAAGTTTGAAGACCACTGTTTTAGAGTTACTGAGCCTCCACTTCGTAGTGCTTTATAGCCCTCTCTAAGCAGTTTATAGAGCTGGCATATTGTGCCCAACAATCTGGGTCCTCATTTTACTGACCTCGGAAGTATGGAAAGCTGAGTCAACATTGAGCCAGTGCGAATTGAACTGCTGGCAATCAGCAGAGTCAGCCTGCAATTCTGCATTCTAACCACTGTGCCACCATGGCAAATCAAAGCATCATTTCTCCAGGCCCAAACCTGGAAAATTTGATTTAGAAGTGACAGATATTGAAAGGCTTCATCTTTTTCTTACAGGAACATCACTGAAAGGCAGTGTTTTAACCTCCAATTCACTTACTAGCTGTGCTCTTTCTTACAGTTCCAGTTATATGTAAATCTACATCTATAGAAGTGAATATTCCCAAGGATCTCGTTGGGGGAATGGACCTCTCGCTTACCAATGGCTCCTGCAAGGGAATATCCAATGGTACCCATGTCAACCTCATCTTCTCTCTGAAAACTTGTGGAACCTCTATAGATGTATGTATTGATTGCATTTGTTTGCTTTTGTCTTGCATTCATATCCTATCTTTCCTCTTGATATCTCAAGGTAGAGTCCATGGGGATCTCTCCTCATTTTTTTCACATAATATAACCTTTTGAGATAGAGCAATTGCAACTGAGCCAAGGGTGTCTACAAGTAGTCCTCAAATTATGACCACAATTAAGCTCAAAATTTCTGTTGCTAAATGAGACATTTGTTAAGTGAGTTTTGCCTCATTTAACGACCTTTCTTGCCACAGTTGCTAAGTGAATCGCTGCAGTTGTTAAGTTAACAATATGATTGTTAAATGAAGCTGGCTTCCCCATTGACTCTGCTTCTCAGAAGGTCGCAAAAGGTGATCACATGACCCTGGGACACTGCAACCATCACAAATATGAGTCAGTTGCCGAGTGTCCGAATTTTGATCACATGACCATAGGGATACTGCAACGGTCCTAAGTGTGAAAAATGTGTATAAGTCACTGTAGTCAGTGCCGTTGCAACTTCAAATGATCATTAAATGAACTGGTGTTGTTGAGTCCTTGGTTAATGGCAATGACGGCGCGAGACATTCTGTGGTTTCAGGAACTTTTTATTGGTCTTCAGTAGCCCCCGTTACAACTCTGAGCAGAACAAACCTCTCAGCCTCTGTTAAAGACGATCCCCGGGCCAAAAAGCAACATTTAGGCGCGCTGCGCGCCTCGCGCATGCGCACGAGTGCTGGCACCAGCCAGTCTGGTCCCGGGCAGCTTGCAACTGCCCGGGACCATTGCAATGTCCCGAGCCCTTCCCCCCCCCCGGCTAAGACTACATGAATAATTACACGCGACCTCAACACGAGCGTGGTGTGCCTACCCTTGCTCAATGGTACCATGCTATTGTTCTGGAGATTAATTCCCAGTGTCCCCTTTTGCGGCTTCCACAGAAACACCCTCTTACTGTTTCTGCTTTGCCAGCAGAGTTATAAAATCTTCGAGATATTTGGGAGACCTCTTATCTCTCTGTGATCTCCGTAGGCCCTGATAATTCCCAGATACACCTTGTCCAGAGGAGGCTATAGGTTCACCCCCTTTCTCAGACCCTGGTGGCCCCCGTGGACCATGCCCCGCTGCCTGGCCTGCTTGCTTGCCCACCGGGCTCGTCAGACCAGGACTTTGCTCTCTCTCTAACCTGGTTGACCTGCCTAGTTGCAGGCGTTCTGGCCCCTCTAGAAGGCTGCCACTGTTGGGCAACTCTGAAGAGCCTCTCGAGCCCACACTGGACCTAGCATGAGGCTGCCTTCCTCCACTCCCCAGTTCCATAGTAGGACTGTCTGTAATTTCAGTACTGTCCCAAAACTCAGTTGCCCCCTCCGTTGAACCAGAGGGTTCAGGATCTGTATTTGGCCCTTCTATCACTTCCCGGTGGAAGTGTCCTTTTCTGGGGATGGTGGCGAAGTTGGGCCAATTGCGTTGATTGTGTGCCAGCTCTCATGCAATGTTTGACTTATTAGGATGCTCCCGGTTATTCTCCCTGACTGGAGTGCTGAAAGGTGTAAGTGTGTAATGATTATGCCCCCGGGGTGACTCCCTGGCTGGAGTATGCACTGTAGCCTGTGTGCTAGCTGGTTCCCCTGAATTCCTGTTTGGAACACTCGTGGAATCTTGAGATAGGCCATCTGTGGCCTCTCTGTTGGGGCCTGGTTGCTGCCAACACCCCTCCCTTTGCCCGTAAGGGTCCCCCTCCCCCCTGGAAAGGAACCAGGAATCTCTGAAGGTAAGTCCAGTCTTGTACGCAGCTGGTCGATATGCCGTCGCAGGATACAACCGTCATCCAAGGAGACCTCGTAGGACAAAGGACCTGTAACCTTGCAAACTAGAGCAGGAACCCACAAGTGATCTGGCCCGTAGTTACGGGTCCATACTGGGGCACCCACTTGTAATTGCCTCGGTGCCCTGGGTTGTGTACCCCTAGGAGGCAATCTGTCTGGGTGCAACCGGTCAAGTTTAGTAGTCAGTTTGCGCCCCCAGCGAAGTTCAGCTGGGCTTCTCCCCGTAGAAGTGGAAGGTGTAGTGCGGTAAGCAAGGAGGAAGTCAGCCAACCTGTGATGCCAGTCCCCATAAGTCAGTTTCTTTAAAGCATCCTTGGTGATGCGGACCATCCGTTCAGCCATCCTGTTGGTAGAAGGGTGGAAGGGCGCAGAGGTGGCATGACGAATCATGTTGGCCTGTAAGAAAGCTTGGAATTCGGAAGAAGTGAATTGAGGGCCATTGTCAGACACCAAAACATCCGGAAGCCCATGTGCAGCAAAAATCCCCCTCAGTACTTGGATAGTCTTTGCAGTGGTGGTGGAAGAGACAGGTACAACCTCAAGCCATTTTGAATAGCTATCAACCAGGACCAAGAAGAATTGACCCTGAAAGGGCCCAGCGTAATCGATGTGCACCCTAGACCATGGAGACTGTGTTTCTTCCCATCTATGCACAGGAGCCTGAGGCATTTCTGGGCGTGAGCGCTGACAAAGGTGGCAAGTGTGCACCTTAGCCTCAATTTCCTTGTCTAACCCAGGCCACCACAAATGGCTGCGCGCAAGCGCCTTCATTCGTACAATGCCAGGATGACCCTCGTGAAGGGAACCTAAGACTCTAGACCTCATTGAGGTAGGAATAACAACTCTGCTGCCCCACAGCAGACAACCCTGAAAAGTGGATAACTCATGTCTCTTAAGCCAGACACTCTGAAACTCAGTGCCTGGACAACTCTCTGGCCATCCAGACAAAACCCAGGATAAGACATGAGAGAGTGTGAGATCTGTGGCTGATTCAGCAGCCACATCCCTGGCGTTTAGAGGTGATTCAGGCAGTCCTGAATTGAAAGGATGTTGATTGCCGGGGCCGGATCAGCCTCTACTACTTGTAAGGGTAATCTACTGAGGCCATCAGCATGGTCCATTTCTTTGCCAGGTTTGTGAATTAGAGAAAAGTCATAGGCTGACAGGAATATTGACCATCTGAGCATCCTGGGGGAGATGATGTGGGGGGTCTGTTTGTTAGTGGTAAACAACCCCAACAAAGGCTTATGATCAGTGTAGACCGTGAAATGTCTGCCATATAAAAAATCATGGAATTTTTTAATTCCAGCAACAACAGCTAAGGCCTCCCTGTCTATCTGGGCATAATTCCTTTCAGCAGAAGACAAGGTTCTGGAGTAATATGCAACAGGAACCTGAGTTCCATCTGGTCTGAGGTGACTGAGTACTGCTCCTACTCCATAAGGAGAAGCATCACAAGCGATGCACACAGGAAGAGTTTCATTGAAGTGTGCAAGCACATTGTTGGACGTTAGTGAGGCCTTAACCTCATTGAAGCTTGCCACACCGCCTGTTCGTCCAGAAGCCTATGAAGTGATTCAGCTACATTAGCCTTGTTAGGAATGAATGAATTCTAAAAATTCAAGAGTCCCAGAAAAGCTTGCAGTTCAGCTTTGGACTTAGGTCTAGGAGCTTGCATGATAGCTGTCAGAATCCAATTATATTTCATCTTTAATCATCAAATATAGAAAACCCCAATTCTGCCTTCTCTGGATTCTGCCATAAGAGGGAGAGAAGGGGGAGAACAAAGGGGCTTTATGGCCCTCACTTCCTTCAGTATACTTCTAAGGAATTGAATGTGTTTATTGCAACCTCAAAGAGTTTGAATGTAGTTAGCACCAAAGAACCTTACCATAACAAAGGGGGCTATTTACCTTTCATGTAGTTTATCTGAAGTCCCCATCCAGACGGAAGAAAGGAACAAAGGGGTGGAACTGTGATGCCTGAAACTATCACTGGAAGGGGGGTGATTGGGTGGGACTGCTGGGGAACCCCTTAAAACCTTGAATGGGAGAGCTTGGACCCCAAGTCCTGCCTAGCACACCTGCAACCACTTCTTCTTAATAAAGGATTCCTGTTGGAAGAATTATTCCAAGAGTTCTGTCTTCTTAAGATGCAAAGTGGGGTGGGTCCTTACAATAGCTTTTAATTTGGACTCAGCAGGATGAATCCCATTAGCATCAATTTTGAATCCCAGGAAATCTGTAGAAGGCACCCCAATTTTACATTTGTCCTTTTTAAGCTTGAGTCCTGTTTTCCGGAACCGCAGCAGGACAGCCCTCAATCTCTCAGCTAGATTTTGGGTGGAGTCTCCAGCAATTAAGACATCATCAAAATAGGGGCAAACCCCTGGTATACCCCTCAAAGTATTTTCCATTACACTTTGGAAAATTCCAGGAGCCACGTTTACTCCAAATTGTAGTCTCTTGACTTTGAATGCCCCCCTATGAGTTACAATGGTTTGTGCTACAGCAGCAGCTTCATCAACAGCCAGCTGTTGATAAGCCTGTGCTAAGTCAAGCTTTGCAAAAACACGCCCCCCCTTGAGGGAGGCCAGAATATGGCTGACTACAGGTACAGGATAGGCATGTTGTTGCAATGCCTTATTTTTTTATTATTATTATTATTAAAAGTTTTACAATTTTACAATAAAATCCCTCTCCCACTACCTCCCTGCCCTCCCAAAAACCCTCCCCCCCTCTTCCCAGAGCTGAATACAGGGTTAACTATAACTAAGAATACAAAACATTTAAACTTAAGTAAACCCCAAACAAAAGTTACATTAAAAAAAAAATCCAATATATATATATATATATAATAAAAAAATCCAATACATATATATAATTAAAAATACTTATTATCTTAAACTTTAAACTTTAAACATAAATTATTCAAAAGCTAAGTAATATCTTTTAATATCATACTTATACTGTATAAAGTTTATCCATTTTTTCCACTCCAAGAGATATTTCTCTTGCGATTGATCTTTCAAATAAGCCGAAATTTTTGCCATTTCAGATAAATAAGAAACTTTTAAAAACCATTCCTCCAAGGTAGGCAAAAATTCCTTCTTCCAATATTGTCCTATCAACAACCTTGCCGCTGTAATTAAATTTAACATTAAAATAATTTCTTTATCATCACAAT